GAGAGAGAGAGAGAGAGAGAGAGAGAGAGAGAGAGAGAGAGAGAGAGAGAGAGAGAGAGACAGACAGACAGACAGAGAGCGAGAGAGAGATCCGAGAGAGAGAGAAAGAGAGAGAGAGAGAGAGAGAGAGAGAGAGAGAGAGAGAGAGAGACAGAGAGAGAGACTAACAAATGAGGGCTGAAACCTCTACAACAGGGCTTTACGTCTGAAAACAACCGCACGAATTAACAAGCAGGTTGTCAGAGAAACAGGGAGAGAGATGGGCAGGCAGGCCAACAGACAGGCATATAATGAAAATATGGCAATAGTGATCCGTCTGACCTCAAAAGTTCATGGTGTGTGGAACAGCTGCAGTGCGAAATTGGGCCGGGTGCGGTATGGCCCGTACCTCGCTGGGCAACGCATTCCAGAGCCTAGCTCCTTGGAACGCGAGACAACCCTTGCCCAGCTCAGTGCGGGTTGGCGGTGGTCTTAGACCCTTAGATGATTGCAGCCGAGTAGGAGCGCCACTGGTTGGTAGCAACAGCACTTGCAGTGTGGGGCTAGCACGGGAGTAGCGGCAGCGCCAAACCAGGAAGATGAGCTTCTGGATGAAGATCTCCCGGACACGGTAGGCTCCGAGTTGGACTAGCAGGTTTCTCGCAGAAGTGCGCGACGAGCATCCGTACACAGCTCGAGCCGCACGATTCTGCAGAACTTGGAGACGGTCCAGGTGCTTACCCGCCAGCGACGCTGAGAAGGCATTGGAGCCATACGAGAAATCGGGCATGATTACAGACTTGAAGTATTGGATGCGGCTTTGCATGCTGAGGCAATTACCGACCACCAGTATGGCTTTGTCTCCTGCAAGTCGACACTCGATCGGCCTGTCTTCAAGAGTGGCTTAGGGCGCGTTCAGACTGGCGTGAATAGCCGCCGGAAAGCTGCAGCGTAATCCCGGGAATCGCAATCACACTGCACGTGTATCATATATCCCGCTGGAATGGCCAGTACATGTGAAGCTAGACATTTGACAAATTTGAGTTGACTCAGTTTGAGTTGGATATCAAAATAAACTAATTCAGTCTGTTGAGATACTGGATCATTGTGCTTGTCCGTCGACGGAAAGAATACTATGTCCGGAGTGTTTGGTGCTTGGGTGGCATTCATCCGCTCCGCGATCAGAGTATGCTTCTCGTTCGCAGCAAGCGTTTTGCCTGCAGAGCGGCCCGCAAAAATCACCACGTACACGCGGCTCCATGAACTCCCTCTCCATTGCTGAGTCGAACAAAGATTTCGGCATGATGGGAGAAGTAATAGTTGGCAGTCTAGAAGTCAAAACTCAAAAGCATGCAGTCAGACTGCAAGAGTAGAGGCTGAAATAAAACGAAAAGACGGAACATGTGCTGCAAGGATATCAAAAGCGCTCCGCGTGCCGCCGGAATCTGCATTCCACTGGCCTGCAGAGTGGTGGGAAACCTTTTCCGTGTTTACGCTGGCGGGAACGTCACGTGGGCGATTCACCTTGACAACTTTCACATTCCGCTTGTTTTTTACGCCAGTCTGAACGCGCCCTAAAGCACTCGACAAGCGCACTGACTAACACGCTCTATTCTTGGATTTCACGAAAGTGTTTGACAAGGTGCCGTACCCTGTTCTTCTCCGGCAGCTCGCTACTATAATATCCCCTGAAGCCGTTTCTTGGTTCACCAACTACCTTAGATATCGGTCCTTCTGTGTCAAAGTTCTCTCTACCAAGTCGCCGACCCACCCAGTTTCTGCAGGCGTTCCCCAGGGATCTCACCTTGGCCCCATTCTTTTCATTCTCTATATTACTGTAAAAGCCATAGATATTATAACGAAGTGCTAACTCTAACGAGTTAACGAGGAGAAATCTGTCGCTAAAATAGAAAGCGTTTTACAGAAATCGATTCATATACTGTCCTATTGAGCGTTGAAAATGAGTGAGAATCGTTACCTTTGGTACACGTAAACTAGGCAATTTTGGGAAATCGTTATAATTGCGCCTCGTTAGAATAATGGCTTTTACAGTAATACCCTTCCTCGCACCATATCGTACTGATGTGCTCTTATTTGCCGATGACACTACTCCTGGGAGAGCAGCCGGAGGGCCTAATCAACAACAAAATTCCACCCCTCCAGGCCGCCAATGATGGCGTCTGCAGTGGGCTGATTCAGTCGGAGAGTGCTTCAACCCCTCGAAGTCTTGCACCATACAGTTCTCTCCTAGAAGTCGTGCAGAACATGCCCACCCTACTCATCTGACTCCTCACCTGAGAATGCAGGGAGATGACGTGTCTGATGTAACGACTCACTGACATCTTGAAGTCATCTTGGACTCTAACCTTGACTTCACCAGCCACGTCGCCACCATCACGACAAAGTTCCGCCAGCGAGTGGTCCTGCTGATCCACATGACCAAGCGTATCACCCCAGCCGTAGCCAGCCGCTTGTACACTGGATATGTTCGACCTCTGGTTGAATACGCCTCATCCCTCAGGCTCTGGCAATTTCAACTCTTCTGTGCTCAGGCTACTACCCTTGAACGGCTACAGGCAAGAGTGATTCTGCGGCAGTATGGCGTGTACGAGTCGTACAATCCTCAAACGGAGCCGAAAGCCTCACTTTTCGCGCACCTCCAGTGGCCCAGCCTCGCATTCACACATTCAGTGCCTACTTCAGCTCCACCACCTTATCCATAGCCAGATGACGACCCTGGAGGACCTAGGCTAGACAGTATCAAACAGCGCCAGGCGCCCCCAACATCTGCTCCCGCCTGCTAGAGCCCGCACACACACCCGTGCCACCTTTCTCTTTGTCACCACTGCCCCATGGAACTCCCTCCCGGCTACCATTAGTACTGTATCCAGCCCAAAATGTTTTATCGCTGTTGTCCGCGCACACTTTGCTATCACCCGTTATGAGCCCTCTGGTTTCTTTCCACGTAGAGTAGCGATGTCATAGAGCACTGGGTTATAATATATTGCTACCACCCCTAGAGCACTGGCTTAAAATATTACTACCACCCCGCATCATTCTATCTGTTATTTTTCTCCTCAGCTTCTTCTTCATAAGCTGTTGACGAAGACTCCCTCGATTTAGGCTAAGGCTTGTGGAGAATCCATAATATTAATACATATACAAATACAAAAACCACAATCCACTTTTCCTGTACATCAAACAACAATTTTTTTCTTCATTTTTCTGACCTGTACAGCTCTGTCTTTTCCTTTTTGTTTGGTGCGTGTTTTTGGATGCCGAGACCTCAGGTCGGCAGAGCCATCAATGCCCCGCCATCACTGCTGCGTCTCCGTGCAGTAGGGAGGGCCCGAATATGCTTGCGCATAGTTTCGCATAATTATTTTGGTCCTTTTGACACAAGGTCGCATAAAGTAGCAAATCTAGCATATTGTACCAAATGTAGCATTTCAGACATGGCACGTGCTTGTTGCCAGGAGACGGCCAATGAGCGCCCAGAAAAAGCAGTCAAGATCAGTCGATCTTGACCGCCTAGCCGGTCAAGAACAGCAGTCGTACAGCATCGCGCCGCACATGCGCATTGACCATTTTTCGAAGTCCTTGCCTTGGGCAACATCTCCGACGAGGACTAAAAATTTGTCTCCCTTCTCCAAAATTATTATATACTCACTACTGTCTTGAACGTCTGCAGGGAGACCAGAAACGCCAACCGACCTTGCAGCTGGTCCTGTTTCTCGCGGCGAAACGTACACAAGGGAAGCAGACCTCCACAAGTACATTTTGTACCTGCCCTAGGCTAAGGCTGCAGCTTCTCAGCACTCGCATTTGAACCTTACTCTGGCAATCATCAAACTCGAAGAACGGGTTTATTCCGAATCCGTCATATTACTGGTACTAACGTTACTACTGCCTTCACTGTACTTGAATACTTTCATCTCAGAACTGGAAAGTTCCGACCAAACAAATAGCTGTTTGTTATGGTCACTGCACACAATGTGACATCAACTCATTTGCCGTCAAGGCTTTCTTTCTGTTTGAATCTCTCTACTGTACTGCTGGTACTGGGCCTTGTTGTTTGTGAGGTGGGCCTTGTCTGAAGCGCAATCCTACACAGTTGCGTCGGGCATGCCGCTCTGATCAGGCCCTCGGTCATGTGAGTGATCTTGCCCTCGGTCGCGACGCCCTCGGGGCTACGCCCCTTGGGCGTCGCGACCTCGGGCAAGATCACTCACAGACCTCGGGCCTGATCAGAGCATCATGCCCTCGCAACTGTGTAGGATTATGTATATTTTGCTACAAGAAGCGAAGAATTCGCATAATTATAGGGCAGATTGCGGAAATGGACAACGAAACCACGGCACGCTCGGTCAGGGAACACTTCCAAACTTAGCCCGGAAGGAAAAATGCTCATCCAAACACGGGACGAAAATTTGACCAGAGAAGAGAGTGTCCGCAGCTGCAGCTGAAGGTCGCATAAAGTAGCAAATCTAGCATATTGTGCCAAATGTAGCATATTTTGCTACAAGGAGCAAAGAATTCGCATACTTATCACTGATATCAGTTCATATTTCGAGCATATTTCGAGCATATTTTCTGCCTTTGTGTGATTTCGAAGCATATTTTGAAGCAAGTGACCAATATGCGAAAAGCATAATATGCGAAATTTTTGAGCATATTTGGGCCCTCCCTACCGTGCAGTGCCTGCTCATTAGCTGTCACGTTTGTCCTAGTCTCCGTATTTTTGTCTTTCATTATTCTTTTCGAGCTGGGTATGTGAACATAGTAAAAAAAATATATATTATATATATATATATACCCGCAAGCTATGTGCAGTAAACCAGTGATCACATTGCAAGCCATTTGGCTCATCAGTTGTTTAAGACTTAAAAGTCTTGTGCCTAGTTGTCGCACTATCGGACTGTATAATTATCTCGTTACCTTGGTAAACTTTTAGTCGTTACTAGTAACGTATTGGTCCTTTCTCTTTTTGCAAGTGATGTGGCCTTCTTCTTTTCTCCCAGGGATGCATGGACTGTTCAAAAGCAAAGGTGACCATTCCTCTGCCTGTGTATATCACCATGATCATTCTGCTGACGATTCTCAGCTCGGGCTTGATGTTCTATTTCAACATCGGTCTCTCACCGGTGCTGGATAGCTGGTTGTTCTTTTTTCAGGTGAGCGACTGCAGTACATGTATGTATGTATGTATGTCATTGTTTGCCCCTGGAACCATCGGAAGCGTCCGCGCCGGCATCACCTATTCCGCTCAACGTCCCAGCTTCTCTCTTGTGTGTGACATGCAATCGGCAATTCAAGTCAGTGCCTGGTTTCAGACGTCACAAGTGCGACCGTGGCCATCGAGCAACCAAGTCTGATAGAGCGTCGGTATTCGCTGTTCTCGCTGCAACGGTCAGTTCCGTCGACAGAGTGACCTGAGTCGTCGTCTCCGTTTCTGCTCCTGACAGTGACTCTGGCTCCTTTCGGAGTGGTGTGGCCCTTGTGGCAACCAAGCTACAGTGGTAGTAGTACTAGTATGTATGTATGTATATCTCATAATCACAAGGTGATCGTAGAGGCATTAATCAGCGAGAGAATTGTGATTTGTGAATGATGTCTCTGAATCCAACTCTATCGTGTGCTGCATGACAGTACATGACATACTGTAAAATAGACAACATTTCGGTAGCTATTTAATTTTCGGCTATATTCAGCATCTACCCCGTGGCGAAAATAAATCGCTGGCAAAATGCCGAAATCTTGCAACGTCGACATGTTGTATATAATTTTACAGTAATACCAGCACAGATGCAAGACAGATGGGAGTAGGCCTTCAATGAGCCCAAACAGGTTGCGAGAGAGCAGGGGCCTTCAGGGGGCTCATGGTGACGGTGTTGGGAATGTAAAATGCTCCTTGACATTCGTCTTGTTGAGCACTCTTGGTATGCTGCTCTAGTGCTGCTGCGCTATGCATCGCTCGTTACTTTTCGTAGTTAGAGCAATCTGGCACTAAAGCGACGAGCTATCTCAAAATGTCTGTGGTGCCTCCTTTGCACCATGGCTGATAGAAAAGCTTGCTTTTAAAGCTCGTAGCTGTACTGATGAGGCCTTTAGGATGTAAAGCATATATTGGCAATACTTTCCACAGGCAAAGTCCAATGATCAGACATGCACACTCATGCACTTTTAAAGTCTTTGACCGGAGATCATGACATGTACGGCTTCCCTATATCTTTCGTATGTTTCACTGATTTTTGTTTCTGTCCGCAGACATCTTGGTACATCTTCCCAAAAGATCAAACGCTTGTCTACAGCAGCATCTACACTGTTTTGACATTCGGACTTGGTCACATGTGCCCCAGCAGTCAGCTACATCGTCTCCAAATCACCGCTCTTCTCCTCCTGCAACCAATCACACTTCTTCTTATTTTCCTGGTTATGCGCGTAGCAAGATCGTACAACTACCTTGGAACCCGCCTGGCGAGACTGCAAAGCCACATGAAACTAGTGCGGGTCATGTGGTTCGTTCTTGTCTACAGCTACTTCATGCTCACCTTCAACTCGATCAGTGTCTTTGACTGCGTCCGCGTTGGTGAAAATAAAGCTAGGCGGGTTTTGGCCATGGATGGGTCCATTGACTGCTTCCAGCATCCGCACCTGGTCTATGCAATCGCTGCCGGTGTGATACTGGTGTTCGTAATTTTACCACCACCTGTCATATTACTACTCCGGCCGTTTCACGGACATCCGCACCTGAAGGGCTTCGTCGACGAAGCATGCTCCATGTACCGGGACAGTTGCAGATGGTGGTCGGCGGTGAACCTGCTGCGACGAGTGGTCATGGCGCTGCTGGGCTCGGCTTGGCTGTGGGGTGAGGTATCACGTCAGCTGATCACATGCAGCATGCTGCTGTTGTTGCTGATGATGCATACACATTTCAGGTAAGTTTCACTTTAATATATTATTAATTATATCCAAAAAAATACTTACAGCTAGCCCTTTGCCAAAGGTGCTCTTTAAATTCGCACTTAGTGCTTTTCGAGTCCCTCAAAATATGCTGAAAAGTGCTCTTTTTCAGTGAAAACAGGCAAAAGTGCTCTCTTTTTTCAGTGAAGCATAGCCATGATACATGTTTAGATATGAACCCAAGGTGAGAAATGAATACGCATTCTTCCATTTATGGGTCCACGAAAGGCAAAACACGAAGTTTGTTCAAAAAACCCACATTTTACAGCATTGTGTACAAGCTTCACCAACTAGTTACTTGTAAAAAATAAAAATAAAGTAAATTATCGTATCCGTTCCCGAAGGGAACTCATGACGGCCGCTAACACCCGATAAACCCTAGCGGCAGATGCAGCGCCTAACGGTGGGGATGAGTGAGTTACTTGTTGCCCCCCCCCCCCCCCCCCCCAAGAAGTGGCGTGCCAAGGCCCATTGTCGGCATCGAGCACTCGGAAACTGTGATCGCATCCTTGAGCAAGCAAATTTTAGCACTTTTTCAGCTAAAAAGCTCAAAAAGGGCGATATTCACCAAAAATACGCAATAAAGGGCGAAAGAAACGGGCTTTTCCAAAAAGGGCGAAAAAAAGGCGAGCACCTTTGGGAAAGGGCTACTTGCAGCACAAGAATAATTATAATGACAGAGACTGCCGAGCGTGCATGCCGTGGAGTCTTCAAATTCATATTCTGATAGGCAAATCGGCCGGCCGCAAAAATTCGCCGGAAACATGACTCATCGGAAAATCTCAAAATCGCGAAGCTTTTCGCTGATTTTGTAGGGTTCCTTTGAGAGTCGCCGCCGAAAATCTACCAAAATTAATGTTTTTGCAAAATGCGTTTACAAACGTATGATGTTGCTGCAAGCATGACCGCTTGAGCTCTCTACGTCACTACTTGTAGGACTATTGCATTGAGGTCGTGTGTCTTGTGTCCTTTGACTAGGAACCGGCGGATTCTGCTCGAAAAGCAGTGAAATTGGCAGAACTATACAATTCTTATGGCGGGCAATTCCTCGAATTCTGCTCCATTTCTTCATCCACATACCAAACATGCATGAAACTTACCAGAAAAAGTACCGAATTCTGCTAATTTTTCTGCCGCCAGAATCCGCCGGACCCTACCTTTGACCTCCTCTCATACAAACATTAGCCATTAGGAAGATCGTTACTAGAAAAATCCCCAAATCGGCCGGCCGAAAAATTCGCCGAAAACGAGACTTATCGAAAAATAAGCTTTTCGCTATTTCTGGAGGGTTCCTTTGAGAATCTCCGAAAATCTAACTCGTAACATTTTTTCCTTCTATGTTACCATAATCTACCAAATCTTCCAATACAGTCATGTATCTCACCAATTTTGAAGTCAATATTCCAACAAATCGTTTAACCGATTTTCCTATATATTTTCAAATTTGCAGCCGATTTTCGAACAACCGGCTGATTTTGCAGCCGAATCTGATGTATTTTGAGCCGAACGAAAAGCCGAATACCGGTAGGCGAAAACGGGCCGATTTGTGGAAAGCCTATATTCTAATTGCGTTGACAAAATGATACAATTGACAGAGGTAGTAGCAACATGTGTGTGTGTGTGTGTGTGTGTGTGTGTGTGTGTGTGTCTGTGTGTGTGTGTTTCTGAGCTCCGTGTTCTTGGCTTTCTCCCAAGTTTTCTACCTGCCCAGGGCGACTCTGGCTACGCCAGAGTCGACCCTGGAGCACCCTCGCACACTGCCAAGGTAGTGCTGCATGATTGGAGCGCGGAATCGCGATGTAGCTTGCAGGACAATTTACTTTGATATTGTCACTGCTGCGTCGGCCGTGGTCCACCACTCGCAGTGGAGTAGCTGTCCCTCGAGTGCTGTGAAGAATCCAAGCTCGAAGAATGCAGTGGTGGGAATTGCGGATTGGCTGGTGGAGTGCTGGAACAACTCGTTGTTTTCAGTGGAGTGGACGAGCGAGTGCGGAGAGGAAGGTCCCAATGGCGGAATGGTGGGAATTGAAACTTCAATCTTTCGTCGTCATGAGTGCACTGGTCAAGCGTTGTGGAAGTCTGTCGGATTTGTGAGGCCTTGCCCTGCCGCTTACATCGTCAACGTGGAAGAACTGCTAGTGGAGTCCTGGTGGGATTTCGGATGCCCACACTCCTTTTGCTTGGTGGATTCTTTCGTGGACAGTGTTTTTTCGTGACGTGAAATTTTGAATTTTTTTTCCTTCCTGTTCATTTTCAGTCGTTGTCACTGTAGCTGTCAGGTTGTTGTTACAGTACAGCAGTCGTCCGTTCTGCTCCATTGTTTCATCTGTTTTGCCAGTTCTGCTAGCTGATTCTCTTTATTTGCCTCTGCCCCTCATAGTGTTCATGCTTGGGTGGAGGGCGGCGTGACCCGTTTAGGGTAGCTGTATCATAGTAGTAGTAGTGTGTGTGTGTGTGTGTGTGTGTGTGTGTGTGTGTGTGTGTGTGTGTGTGTGTGTGTGTGTGTGTGTGTGTGTGTGTGTGTGAGCTAGGGTCTGCTACCGTCATGGCACGTTGAGGAATAAGAGCAGACTCGTTCTATAATTTTTTTAATAATTATTATCATCATCATCATCATCATCATGGAAACCCCCTCGACAGGCGAACAGCCTTTGGGGGGAATCCCTAAATAGATGAATACGATACTTGCAAATACAATCATCATCCTAACAATATGCCAAGATGAGTGTTCCTTCATATTTTCTCTGTTTTTGTTTTTAATCCTTGCAGACCATTGCGCCAAGGCAAGTTTCTCTTCATCACGTACAACAACTGGGAATCGTTTCTTCTCTACCTGGTCTTGAGCATCTCCGTGCACCAGATCGTCATGTACTTGTCCATCCAACATACGAAAGAGTTGAACGTGGTTGCCATGACGTTCTACCTGGCCCCCACCTGTCTGATTCTGCTCGGCTGCCTGTGGAACCAGTGCTTCTCCAAACGAGGCGGTTACGGACGCTTGAGCTACCTTTCCCTGCGACATCTCTGGTACCAGCGCAGACGCCCTGGTCGCGCAAGAGCCGCCACACAGCTCGACCATACTGCATTGGTGAATTTGCTGTGTGGAGCCAGAGAACCACTACTGGTGGATCAGATCAGAGATCAACAAAAAGGCACGTTTTGACAACACACATACATGATGACAACTGAGGTTGTTTGCACAAATAAGCGGGCGTAGAGCACGACACATAAGCTGTTATTCGGACTGTACTCATGGCAAAAAATCACAATATTCACAAATACATTCCTTTCCTCTCGTCCGTTCCCCCCCCCCCCCCCCACACACACCTTCAAGATTGTGTGCTGAGAAAATGAAAAATAATTGGCGACCACTCAAGATAATTTTTTAAACACTCCACGTTACAGCTGCTATGTGACTCAAGATATCTTGGAGCAATATTTCAGGCACGAACTTCTTGTCTGTTTCATAAATCACCTGACCAGCATCATTCATTGTGACTTCAATTGCTCACATGTTGCAAGTGTGTGTCTTGAGACTTGCATCTTCACCATCCATAGTCCTTCAATATGGAATCCACATACTGCCCTCTCCATATTTTTAGTACGGAATTATATAGCTGACAAAGTACCATTTTTTCTTTTCTTTTGCTTCACATTATCATATTCATCAATTAGTAGGAGCCGTGGTTGGCTCTGGCCATCCCGGCAAGAAGGTAGATATGCCTGTTCGATTGGTCAATTAAAATTAAAACACCATACCACTTGCCTTCACACCAGTCTTACACAATAACTTTGGCGGTCATTCTGCTTATCATAGTTGTAACATGAACTGCGCTGAGCACGACCACATCCAAGCATGATTCCCTTGCTTCATCACTCTGTCATGATGGTCACCAGTGTAGCCGATGCTACCCCATTCTGTCCCATGTATCTTCTACCTCTTCTCCCTTACGAACATACTTTCTCATTTTCCATACTTACTTAGGAGACTCCCTTCGATAGGCATCTATTTGCCTCTGGAGGATCCGTGAAATAAAAATCAATCAATCAAAATGCCGCCCAGCGCACTTCGTACACACAATCACAATCATTGTGTTAATCTTTTTTTATATATTTCTTATACTATGTGCACATCCCTACAAAGTAACAGGGGTATTAAAAGAGACAAAGACAAAATACAAAGACAACAAAGGAGTAGTAGGTGCTACAAGAGCTGTGCTGGTCAGGCGCAGTGCACTCCTCCGACCATTTCGGTCTCGGAATCGACATGGACTGTGCGGGCCAAGGAGGTATACTATGAATGATAGACTTATGAGAGCATCTGGAAATGCAAGAGCATGATCTATACATTGACTTCTCTGTCGTGAAGATGTATGGATCAGAGATACATGACATGTTGCCTGATGATTGCCTCCTGACTCACTTGTGAGGTCTGCATTCGACACTGAGGATATAATTATGGGCGAATTGGTGGCCCGCCGATGCGAATGTATTTGCTTGATGTATTCCTAAACACGTCAGGCGATGCGGCCGCGAATCCCGCTAACTTTTTTGTTTTGTTTTTATGATTCATCATCATCATCATCATCTGCGTTGCCGAAAAATAATAATAGTAAAATAGAATATTTGATAATGATAATATTTGATATTTGATTGTTTATGTGTGCTAGCTGGTTATATAGTGCTTAGCACACAAGAGAGAGTTTGCAAGCTTTGTTACAACTCTGAGTTTCACGTATTACTACGATCATCACGCAAGCAAATATTTGTCGTCATCTTTGTCTTCACACCCATGGACCCAGCTACATTGCATACTTTGCATTCTATTCTCCATGTCACTAACACATATTCACACTTACAGACACAGCTCTCCACTTGTCTCCTTCGCTCCTTCCCATTCTACCAACACACTTCACCATTGCTGCTGGTAACCACACTTCTCGTGCTTTCCCTTCACGTCGCACTAACACATATTCACACTTACAGACACAGCTTTCCACTGGTTTCATTCGCTCCTACCCATTCTACCAACACACTTCACCATTGCTGCTGGTAACCACACTTCTCGTGCTTTCCCTTCACGTCGCACTAACACATATTCACACTTACAGACACAGCTTTCCACTGGTTTCATTCGCTCCTACCCATTCTACCAACACACTTCACCATTGCTGCTACCCTCCACACTTACAAACATTTCCATCACCGCCGCACCACACAGCATAATACTCGTTGAATGGTTTTGTTGGCTTTAGTTGAATGGTTTTTCACCCTGAAGATGGGCCATGCCCGAAAATTTGGTGCATTCCATTTATATCTAATATTATTATTTTTTTGGAAATGAAGTGAACCTATGCATGCAGCGAAGAGACCGTACGCGCGTAGTTGGAGAGCTTGAACTGTGTTGAAACGAATAATTGAATAATCGAATAATTTAGAATATTCGTGGGGTGAACGAATAATCGAATAGTCGTAGGAATTATCAGAAATCGAAAAAAAGAACAAAAACAAAAAACGATCTATGCTCAGTGCTGACCCTACTGATATTTGCACTGCGTAGATCTGCTCGTAGTATTTCTTCTCAAACTCTTCTCCTCCAAGTTTTAATCTCCTATATCTAGTACCTCTGTTCTTTCCATACGAGGGAAACATGGATGCAGTGAATGTGATTTTCGGTCTTTGACCACTTTCGACCAAGAACCTATGCAGAGCTGTATCAGGCGTTGCACACTCTGGGGGGTTATGTACTCTTGGCGGTACAGGTTAACCGGTTTTGCACCTCCACATAACAAAATCCGATAATCAGCAAAAATATATAAAAAAATACTTAAAAAGTGCTGAAAAAGTGTTGAAAAATGCCATCATGTGTATATATGATAGAATATAGATTACTCGTTCGATGGAGGGAGAAATTATTCGATAGATTATTCGTTCGCAGAATCCGTGTTCGGTTTAAACACTAGGACTCAACTTCAACTAGAAGTGAGGTACCCTGTAAAATAAAATAATAAAAATAATAAACAGAATATGCAACCAACGCATATGGCCGATTGGTTTGCAGGCCTGCCTGCGAATCATGAGGTCCCGAGTTCAAGACCCGCGCTGGTAGCAGGGAGCGTGTAAAAAGACTTTTTACGCGTGTTGAACTGCGCCGACACCCACGGTCAACTGGGTACTCACAGCTCGGAGTGAGAATAACAAGGATGCAGTTTACAGGGTTATGGGCCGTTACACGCCCGATTGGTTGAGAGACAAACCTCCTCTCCCCTGACTCACTTGTGAGGTCTGCATTCGCCACTAAGGTTAACAGGCATAGTGGTGGCCTGCGGATGCGAAGGCTAGTTTGTGTGTTTCTGAACATTCAAGCGATGCCGACGCGGATCCCGCGAATATATATGTAGGACTCAGTGACCAGTCAAGGCCCCGTGACCAATCACGGTCCCCGTGACCAGTCAAACAGTCACAAACCCCCCATGACCAGTCACAAATTAGTTTACCAGTCACAATGCCCCATGACCAGTCACAAATCACCATACATGTACATGTGTAAAGTACACAGTTCGTGACTGCTCGCAGAGTGCTTCGTACTGCAGGATTTGTTGTGGAAACTATAATTCCCTATGACCGGTCACAGAATACAGTTGAGACCACTATAATTCCATGCGAACAGTTACATGCGGAATGTACAGTTGTGACCACTCTTTCTCTGTGAGTAGTCACAGGCAGAATATAGGTATTTCTGTATTACAAGAGAGATTGGAGGCTTTGTCACAACTTTGAGTTTCACGTATTACTACGATCGTCAGGCAACTGATGGCTCCTAAACGGGCAGCCTGAACATAAGGGGGAGCAAGGTGGGAAATTCTGAGGGGTATCATAGGCGACGGGTATTATAGTGCAAGAGTCAGGTGCAGGCGTGAAGTTGCCAAGTCTTCAGACTTGGGGCTATGCAGCAGTAGTTCCAGCGTGAATGACATAGAATAGAGCTCGGGACCACACATGCCCACACCATTACACACACATACACCCACACTCTCTCCCTTTTCTCACATACACCCACACGCGCGCGCGCACGCACACACACACACACACACACACACACACACTCATTCTCTAAATCTCTCTCTCACACACACACACGCACATATGTCATTCATTCTCTACATCACACACACACACACACACACACACACACACACACACTTGGCTTGGTGCACAGCTGCCAAATGCTTAGGCACGCCGCCCCCGAGACAGGGGGAGAGTAGAAGAGAGAGTTTGAGAGACACACACACACATCTACACACACACACACACACCTGGTCCTGGTCCTGGTAAACACTGCCATTACGGTCACGTGTCCCCTTACGGGGCCGACAATATAGAACGACGAGCGAGACCATGTTCAAGACTGCCATCTCCAGCAGCTATGGCTCTGGCTTATCATCGGAAACGATTCTTCTCACGGCTGCCGCTAGAACTGGTCCATCACTCTCCACAACAGAGCGAACATTCCATGAGCCAACGCTCAGAGTCTTCGCGAGGCTTTGCAAGCCCGCGAGTGGAGCAAACTACCGCACGAAGATGACGACTTGGAACGACACACACACACACACACACCTGGCCTGGTGTACAGCTGCCAAATGCTTGGCCACGCCGCCCCGAGATAGGGGGAGAGAGTTTGAGACACACACACACACATATGTACACACACACACACACACACATTCTCTAAATCTCACACACACACACACACATTCTCTCTCTCTCACACACACACTCTCTTTCTCACGCATGCACACACACACACACACTCACACATGCGCGCGCACACTTACTCACACACACACACACACAAATCGGCAGCGGGACTACCAGCTAGATTCACGTGACCTTGCGGACAAAGTTACGGAGGTAGAACTTGTTTTCATGACGACACTTGGACACAAGTACTTCTGTATTATTATTTTATCTCTTTTCAACCAATCCACAAGCCAAGAAGAGATGCGTAGACGGAAGAACCGTACTCTTGGTGATACTGATCGCAAACATGATTAATTCCTCCAGGCCATTGAGCACCCAATTCTAAACCTTATCTAAGCAAAGCAGCATGCCTGCCAGTTCAAGAACATCTCGTCAGACATACAGTCATATCGATACATGTCTGGTGCACTCTGACTAACAAGCAGGCATCGCAGGCTACATTCGCACCAGCAATCAAAAGAAGTTGAAGTGAGTGAATATTTCTATAAAATTAATAATTGGAAGACAAATGAAGGTGTGGAGGATCGCCCAAAAACACTGACAAGGAGACAGTAAACGGTACACAGTACTCGTATGCATGTACTTATACACGTTATAGCAGCACAACGAGAAAGATCATGATGCATAATGTTGCATCAATAAATTTTACAGAGTTATTTTGGGAGTAGAAATGAAGATGTGTTCGAAGCAGTAAACTGCGTAAGCACTACGTTGAGCCAGAATATTGAAATACAGTTTCCTGCAGTCAAAACAAGACACTCACACTTCTCTGGTCTAGTTCGCCATTCTTATCGATAAACATGACTTGATTTAATTTCTTACGATGGTTCTTGAGAATGGATCAATGATGTCTTGAATAGATGTCTTCCTGAACGACTTCAACTGAGAGGCAGTTTCAGTTTCAACAAGCTGGACATTGTTTTTCTGTGGAGTCTTCCACAAGAAAGACAGAGCTACACACACGAAGGTGCTTGATGTACTCAGTACCTTCTTGGAAATGAACATATTTTCATTTCCATCTTCATTATATTTTCGTCTCTGCATCGTCGACGATGTCCACTTCTGACTCCGTAATCTTGTCACCCATCCTCTCCAAAAACACAAATCGAGTGCTGCTTGCATGCTGGATCAGTTGAAGTCAGTCTCTGCTCTAGCAAGATC